ATCGACAGGGGCTAATACGATTTGAAAGCATTTTCTATCTTTCTCTATTCCTCCCGTCATGAATGAAGGGGAAATACTGAAGTGGCGTCTCCATGACAACTACGAGGGAGTAGTAAGTTGAGTGCAGAATTAACTACCGATCTCTGACACCAGTGAAAACCATCTACCTCTTGGTCAGGATGAAAAATAACTTTTTCAAATCGTCCATCTTAATATCTTGTATGCTCCCATCCCAGACGAAATAACATTTTCCAAAGAAATATATATATAAAGGCTCTTTCTCTAATCAATGCTAGGAGAATAAAATGAAATATATCTACAGGTATATTAGCGGATGCAAGGGAGTGCGATTTCATTCCGAAGAAAGTTAAAGGTTACATCCTGAGATGCGATAGAAATAAAGTTCGGACGAGTGGCACTCGATGACAAGAGTTGCCGTTTGGATTCTCGAAAGTCCCTTCTCTTCAGCTTCGGCCCCGAAAGAAGAAACGCGTACTAAATTTATCCTCGAGCACGATCGTAATTTTCGGCTATTCTCTCTCTCTCTCTCTCTCTCTCTCTTTCTCCGTCTTTCTCTTCCACTCCAACTATCGCTTGAAAAAATTTTCAGGTATATTAGTATTCTCTTATTTATTAATTTATCCAAATTGTAACAAAAAAAATGTTAATAATCGTAAATCTTGTAAAAAGTTACTTGAATGCTATTTAAATGAATATCTTCAAATATGAATATCTTTTTACGCTCATCTTTTTTCTCCTGGTCTGTGCTTTCCGAGAGATTACGTCACGTCACGTGTTTTTTTTAGTTTACTAACTATATCCAAACTTTGTCTATTTCTCTAAGAATACGTATACGGTGGTAAGCCTCCGTATAATATGAGGAGAGACTTTACAGGCGCGTAAATATTTCGTCGTCGCTTTTAAACATGCTCTAAGTTTGACTTCTGCGCTTACTCTCTTCTATAAACACGAGAGAAAAATTTTACGATATCTTTGAGAAATTCTTAGAAGCACATTCTTTTTACTTCACGATTACAAAAACATTATTTTCTTAAAATGTTACAAATTCTGACTCACCGAAGTTATTTTACTGACTATTGAAATCATTCTTTTTTTTAATTTTAATGAGAATCGTATGACGAGAATTTACCACAAATCAGAAATTGATGTTTTCATAACCAACGGAAGAACTTATCCGATGTGCTAATAGAAAACTACTATATCGACGTACACTGCTTTCTGATACCGACCAATGATAAATATACGTTTACAATTTGTTTTATATTAATAATAATAATATAAAAACATTAAACTTATCCAATATTAAATCGCTTTTTATATTTTTATTAATTCTATAATTAAATTTGTAGTCTTAACAAGACTCATGTATGATTCATTTAAACGTTGATAATACAGAATACGAAATACCGTCGGTAAGGCAGAATTTACTATTGGTTTCGTTCAATCGTGCTACTTGCTACTTGCTATCAAGCAATTTATGATTTTTATACGAAGGAATATGCACGAATCGTTGAAACTTTATCACGATTCATAGAAAAAAATATAAAGTATCGATTTATTATTAATATGGATACGAGAACACGCTACGATTTTGATTTAAATGATTAAAAGGAACTCAATTTATAATGTTGGTAAATGTATTGGCGCGAAAAGAGAAGAAGAAGAAAGAGAGAAAGAGAGAGAGAGAGAGAGAGAGAGAAAGATACGATATACATATAACAGAAAATGGCTACTACCATTACTTAAATTTTACCTACGTTAAAGTTATTCTACATAAATGTATATGAAAATAAATTGAAGAAAAATAAAATAATTATTTTTGAAAATCTTTTTCCAAAAAATCCTTAGATGTGTAATATTCTTTGTAAAAAACATGTACGTAATGAATACGACCATGTCCGATGAAAAATAAATGATGAAAAGCAAATATGTTCCAATTTTTTAAATCTATCCTTCTAAAGTTGGAATAGGTAATTTTCGACATTTATTATAAAATCCACAAATATTGCGAAATAGCATTTTTATTTGTTGGGAATTGTTGACCTTGATCGTGACCACCCGATCGAGACATTCTTTTTAATTAGATAAATCTCGAATGAACGTACCCATATTTCCATATTTAGCTGGTCCCATTCATAGTTGAGGGAAAAGTTGATTCTTACATTACGTAAATGTACTCTTCGAAGAATTTCTGCGTTGAATTGTTTGCTGATATTACGAGAAGAACGCATCATGGTGCCAGAAAATGGTGCAAATTGCTTTCGAACGTGTATTTAGGCGCGCTTATCCAAAATGAGCGACGACGGTGCTGTCATCTTGCGTGGTCTATCGTCAAGTTATTTTACGAAAATAAAAACCTACTCCAAAGATAATCCCAACGATAGACATTTATATTTTATATGTACGTTCCTCGATGATCGTCATTCACAAATTACAGCAGCTATTGTTATACAACCGGATAGGGGAGAGAGAAAAATTGGATAAAATATTTATTCATACAAAGCGCTTCTTTTAGGTGCATATCAATTGTCAAGTTTTGTTTTATTTTTTTCACGTAGAAACAGCTCCTAACCGGTAGTACTATTATTACCGAGGAGGACCTTCTTGAACTTCATCGAGATCAAAAAAATGATGAAATTTGACAGAAGCGTATAATGTATTGAATTAGTATCGAAACAGTATCGTAAAATATAAAAGCACTATCGTCGAGTAGAACGTAGTTGGAGGTAAAGATCGATATATTCGTGCATGCTCGATGCAACTAATGTTTATTCGGACTTTTATCAATGCCGTCAAATAAATCGCGCTAGACTTGATCGCACATTACAACTTTGAAATTGGATTGGCCTCGAGCGCGGCTACAAATTTATGATCAAACGTGCAGTAATATTACGCGCGTTACGCGAGTGTATTCTATAAGGAGAGAAACGAAAGTTATTCTCATTATTTTCCCTTTGCATAAATAAAGTCGTCATATCGCATAACGGGTGTTTCGACTGACAGAAATACCAACGGAAAGTCGGGCTCACGCGGAAAGAGAAAAAACCATTATATAGATGGAAATCAAGGATTTTGTTGTTCTTTCCCATGAAATTTCTTTATTACAGCACTCGCGTTTTCGCAGCTTCCACATAAATCCTTGGTAAAAAGGGCATGCAAATGTAAGCAGAATTAAAAGCTCACATTGTTCCTGGCTCATTTTCCCGAGTCCCACAATGTTCCATCTGCCGTTTTTCTTTGGATCGCTCGGTCCAACCTTTCAGCGGACTGCGATTTAATTGGTAAAGGCTAAAAAAAGGCCAGTCGCTGAGGGATGCGAGTATCGCTTTACGCCTATCTCTCTAATTGCAGTCTATTAATTCAGTTCTTTTGTCAAATTCTTCTCGTGAAACTTGTTTGCGAAACCGACGAAGCAAGAGACCTTCTAACAAAGTCTTCTCTTTCGATTTAAAAATCATATTATTTACTCATCTTAATTTTATGGATTATTGAAACATCTACGTTATTAATTTTATCGTTTGCGTAAAATGGTAAGAGAACATTTTTCAGCGAATTTTCAATGCATTTCCCAAGGGTTTATTCTTTCTTTCTCACCTATTCGAACTCTCCAAGCCCTTTTCTTTTCAGCATTTCGACTCGGAAATATTCCACACATATTCTCGATTCTAATTCAATAGCACGATTTTCTCTCAGGAAATCTTTACCAGTCGAATAATGCCATATAGGTATGTGTACCTATACGTTGTACATGTTGATACATATATCTATGCATCTATGTATTATATGTATCCATCTAACCCGACTAGATTGCTCGCAAAAAGCCTACACAATTTTCTACTTCCGGACTATGAAATTAGGAAAAAGGTTGTTTGGGCAATCGAAACAAACGAGATTTAGATATTTTTTATGTAAAATCCGTAGGGTACTAGAAACGAACGTATATATGTAGATACTCTACTTATGTAATTTATTTATAATATATTAATATTCGAGCCACTTTATTTGCAGTAGAAACCATGGAATAAATAATGCACGAAGATGTAAAATATCAATGCATTATTGTATAGTTTATATTGGAGATAGAAAAAATTGCAACAAATTTTCGAAACTTGTTCTCTTTCAAGTGGTATTTCTTTTTCTGGACGTTATACCAGAATCTTTCGAAATAAATGAAAAGGAAACGAGAACGTAGCTTGTACATAATTTTTCGGCGCTGCTTATTTCGTTGAATTAAATCGCGGCCTCTCTCCTTGTAGGAAAATCGATAAAAAAATCTATAATAAAATATTATATAAAAGATATTTCATTATTTCTCGAATTTTGGAAAAAGACGGCCGCAATAATATTTTTTGTTTTTGTTTGATAAGAATCGGAAGACGATTCGAGAAATTTGACGCGTCCAATTCCTCGTTTGATCGATGAAACCTGCCAAAGAAATTTCTCGCCGCTTTTTTGACGGGCCCCCAGTAAAGAACATATTATTTTTCAATAGTTCTTCTTTAGGAGCTAACGTAAGAGGACCGAGTCTTTCATTTCTTCTTGTAGCCGTTGAATCCGACGCTTCCTGCAGATGCTACTACTACCTTACTACAGTTCCTATCCTTCCCGACTTATCAAGTTTTTTTTATTCTTACTCTTTTTCCTTCTCGATTACCCATCCTCTTTACCTCCTCGAGAGAAACTCGGCAAACTCGAATTCCTACCGGTTTATTCGTCCCTCGCGAATGTTCGTTGATGCATCGGCTCGACTCGACTCGGCTCTGCTCGACTCGCATCATCTCGCATCGGAATTCATTTAATAGAGTTCGAACGCTTCATTTTGTTTCCAAGTAAAAAACAAACTAATCTTTCGATTTTTTTCTACTATCGTACGATCGATAAACGGACTCGTTTCACATTTACCGCGCATAAAATACATTATTTTTGTTTCTATCTAAGATCTCTCAACGGAATATGGGATTATTATTAAATTTACTCACTACGGGTAGCGGTATCCGGCGAGGCGTTAATGGCGTGCTGGATAAACCTGAAAAAGAAAAAAAAACAACAAAATGTACATTATAATAAAGGATGTACATATGACTCGTCGGTATTCAAGGGCGAGAATAGAAATGAAAATGGTATATATATATAAGAAAAAATCAATTGGTTTCCGTTTTTGTGCAATAGAGGGATAGTCTCCCCGTTGGTGCTTCGATCAACAACGACGACGAGGGCGACGATTTTCCGATAAGCCGTTCGATCGACCGGAAGCGATAACCGGATGCATCCTTATCGTTCTTTCGCGATCGCACGGTGAGTTTTCGTTGTTCGACCGTTCGAGATTCTACTCGTTTAATCCTCCCGTTCCATCTATTTCGCCAAAGTTATATCCGCAAAATGATCGATCGACCTATCGTCGATTTTGATTTGAAATGTAAAAATTTGGACGTGTCTGTCGCGTTCGTTCGAACATCTTTAAGCTCGATTTTTCCTTACTTTTTTTACTTTTACCTTTTTTCATAAGATCTCGGTCTACGGAAAGGAACAAATTTTTCAAGAAAAATTTTCGTAAACTCGCGTGCACGAGAAGAGGAATTTTTCAGCGATGTCAAAAAAAAAAAACGCGAGCACGAATGCCTCGATATTTTCTCGCCTGCGAATCCAACTAACTCATTCTTTCTCACATATTTACAATGCTCGAAAAACATTCGTAATATTTGCACAATTAAAATGTTGTATCGAACAATTTTGCGATACAAACGAGAACCTTCTTATTTTCATTCTCGCTAGAACTAAATTTGATGGCAGATTATATGATTCCGAGTTAACTCAATTTCATCGACTTTATTTCCAATTTAGCATTACCTCCTCCACTTTAATTCCTTGCTAAACGAATCGTGTTAAACTTTGACCCGGTGGAAAAGTTTGCATAGTCGATCGCGATCCCTCCCTCCCTCCTCTTTATTCCTTTTCGAGAGAATTCTAATCGCTAAACTATATTTCCGCTACTTCGATTTTCTCCGTTAACTCGGCGAATCGGTCGAGCAAAGCGCATATAAATCGTGCGAACGTCTGACTACGATTCTATAGGAAGAAGCTCTCGAAGCAAGTCGAACGAGAGAAAGAAACTGAGAGAAGGAGAGAGAGAGAGAGAGAGAGAGAAAGTTACTTTTGTTGCAAATCCTACGGAAATTGATCGAAAAGAAAGAAAGACATCATTCATTGCAAATGAAATACAAGGAGAGAAGTTCCTTGAATGAGAATCATATTTCTTATTTTATAACATAATGAAGTTTTTGCAATGGTCGAAATAACTTTTCACTCTAAACTACATTATCGGGTAAACAATGCGTGAAACTTTGTAAGAAATTAAATCTCCAATTTGACTGGGTAATATGATGCGAACGTTGCAACTGTAGAATCGTGTAATATCTACTATTTTTTCTTTAATTAAAATAAATAGAAACAAAACTGTAATATAAGAAGGAGTGATCCCATGCAACCAATGAATGCATTCTTTCTTATACCATGAAAATGCTGATTAGTTATTTTCAATCGTAAGTATCTAATTACTATATAATTGTTACTCAGAGTCGAAGTTGATGTAAGAAGAAAACGATTAATCAAATGTTACACATATCGTGCTTCGTCCTTTTAAGTTGAGAATGTGCAAATTGCGTTCAAACTACTGGAACAAGTACGGATAAAGAAAGGAGTAAATGAAAGGATGTACGTCTTCCTATTTAGCGCTTAAGTTTCACCAACTTTTCGCGCAAGAAGGATTGAAAGATTCGAGTGTCGCTCAACCGTGAAAATATTCGCGACGAATGGGGATGGGCGGAAAGATAAAAGTTTTTCAAAGAAGAAAGATTCTGTACCGTCGCGTCTATCGCGATTCACAACGGTAGAAGAAATCTACGTTAACGATCGGCATTCGAATAATTTATAAGGAGGAACTTTGTCGTGTAAAGCTACCACGTAGATATTTTATTTCCACCTGGAATTCCAGCAGCCTCATTCTTTTCACATTTTGTCTCTCGAAACGTTTCCTTATTTAACTATTCCCCCCTTAGCCAAAATTTTCAAGGAAAGGTATGCACCGACGACAAACGAAAGAAAAGTGCAGCAAGCAGTCTACGTTTTGAAGGAAAATACTGAAAGAAAGAGAACCAACATATTTTCTTTCCTCCTGAGAGATCCGAATAGAGAGAAAGAGAGAGAGAGACTATGCGATTCTAACAGAAGAAAAATCTGTAGACCAGGGGATACGACCGAGCCGAGAAATAAATAACGAAGGACTCGCTAGCCTCGTTCTTCTCTTTTTCCTCTTTCTTTTCTCTTTTCGAACAACCGACAACTTCTACGCGAAAAGAGCTTTTCGCACTATCCTCTCTGTGATTTCGATCTTTTTGCTGCGATCTCGCAAGACTAAAAGTAGGCTGCCAAAGGTGGCAAAAATAGGGACAACGAGAACACCTGGAAGCCATCACGAAAAAGGTGGCATGAAAGCTGGACATCATTGTCACAGGAATAACAAACACCCTAAAAAAGAGAATATATTATATAGAGCTAATATATAACACAGGACGCAGTCCTAATAATATTAAGAAGAAGAAGAAGTTTTTTTTATTCATCTCATTTCTCATCAGACGAAACCGCATCAGATTGAATTTCTCTGTAGTAGAAAACTTTGGGCTCGTAGACTTCATCAAAATAGTACTGGGCGATGAGCGCGCTTATTCCCATTCTGTTTTCGACAAGCTGGAATTAACTGTCGAGCGTCACAGAGAAAATAGGAAAGACGAATTCGAGAGGATCCCTAGCGAGAAAACGCCAAGAACAAGAGAACCAAAGTTTCGCGAAATTCAAACTAATTCGCGCAAGGGGGAAGGAAATGGAGAAAGGGAGAAGCTAATCCACGACAACTTATTCCGCATTTTGCATTGCTGTCGCGATACGAATGAAATTCCGAAAAACTTGTTTTCAACGAGGAAAAAGTAATTTCAAGTAACTTTGAAAATGCGAAAGAGAGAAAACAAACATTGTTGCGGTATATTATATATTATCCGATTTAATTAAAACATTTATTAACAAAATATAGTCAAACACGTTCGCGCATGTGGATACTCTTGTGTCTCTCGCAATAACCATTAAACTATGATGCTCGCGTGAAAGAGCCAAACCCTTGTTGACTCGTACACATTTTTTTAACGTCTTCACACGAAAAAGTTTGATTCTTAAGAGTCGTAAGGGGAAAGAACTTGTAATGTATTGCCAATGTAACGAGTACCCGAGAGATCCGTTTTCTTGCGTCCATTAGTTTTTCTAGTTTGGGCTTAGAGTCCATTGACCGATCTCGACTTTCAAGCTGAAAAATCTGGAAGAGCTGAAAACTAGAGGAGTGCAGCTCGCTTACTGGAATTATAAGATACGCTTAAGTACTTATATACAACATCCGGGAGATTCAACTAATTGTAAGATAGATAAAGTACATTTTAAATACGTACTTAAGAAGAGAGCGTATAAGTACGCTAATCTGCATTCGAATATGTGCGTAGATCATCCAATAAGAAGATATAAGGTACACGAACAAATTAGAACCGAGTCGAGTGGAGCAAGATTATGGGAATCTTCTCTTCGTGTAAAGAAGATAAACGACTTTACAGACGAGAGAAAACAAATAGATACTCGGAAGAGTCGAACACGCAAGAAGAGGACTATTAGGATTATCCTTTTGCAAAACCCCTAAGTGTATCCCTAAATGAATGCATACAAGATGGACCAACAGATCTTGAAAATAAATTTCTGAAAAATTAACAATAAAATCTAATCGAGTTTCAATGATCTCCTTTTGTGTGTGAGATACGCGACTAGTTTTGGCATTCTCTTAACACCCGGTATATGCATATCGATCGAAGCTTCGTTATCTTTGCCATCCAAGCCGCTTCCGCGGACAAATTGTACGAGGGATATAAAACATTGAGCGTCGTCCGATAAGAAGATTACGCTCGTTCAAAATCGCGCTAAATCAATATCGGACTGTAGCTGTAGTTGCTGCTGTAGCTGCTGCTGCTGCTGTTGCAGTTGTTGCTACTGCTGCCACCGCTATTGCACCCATTCTATTTCTTCCTTCCATCTCAAAAGAACAATCCCCTCCTCCAAGGTTATAATTCCTTTTAATTTCACGATCAGCGTTATTACTTTTCGTTTCATTTTCCAAACTATTCTCTTTTATCTTCTTTCTCTCTTTTTGTTCTACCTTTTATTGTTTTTTTGAAAATATTATACAAAGATTAAAGTAGTGTTCACCATTCGCTCGTCATAACTCGTAATGACTTTCTTTAGATGTAACAGTATGTATGTATAATCAATTACAATTAGATGAACAATAATTTGCTTCTTTTTGTTGGCTACCAATTCTTTGCTCAGCCGTAACATTATTCGAAATAATTGCAAATACGAGTTACTAAGGAAACTAATAAAATAAATGAAAACGTGTTAGTACTGACCGAAATTCAACGTCCAGCAATAGTTAATTATGAGTCAATTTCCATTCTCCACTTCGTCGACAATCCAAACAAGCAATATCCGATTTCCTTATTTCATCTCATTCAACAAATAAAAAGAATATTTTGCGACTTAATTACGTTACAGAAATCCGTTTAACAGGCCAATTAAATGACTCCACTACTATTGCTATATAAATTTTATTCAATCTCAAAAAATTGATGCGAATATTTCTAATTCACGACTGATAGAGCAGAATCGAGAAGAGAAATCGATAAACAAATCAGTTAGCCAATTTTCGGTCATCTCGCGTAATATTATAACGTCAAATTGATGGCCTGGGAATAAAAATAAAAGCATCCTTGTCCCATATTTAAGGGGGTCTGCGGTGTGCCATTAAACCGTCCATCCGCGAGTCGGCAAATGATCAAATTCGCTTCTGGATGTACAAAACGAAGGCCTTTCTCTATCTATCTATCCATCTATCCAATATATTTCACTAGCTGCATCGCTTTTCGGCCTTTTGGGGATTTTTCA